TTTTTTGTTTTGTTTTTTTAAAGAATGAATGTACATCAACTTGCCTGCATACCTGTCAAGTTGGCCAGACCAAAACTCAACTTTAATTTTATTTTACATCTCAAAGCCAGCCTGGAAGTAAATATTTAGTTTGTTTCCTCCTCCTCCTCCCACCAGACTGTACCTGCTCCCCTGCACTCCACCAACCCCGCCACCCATTGCAGATGACTATCAGTCAATTTGTGTGTTTGCTAAAACCTGTGATCATAGTTGTTAGAAATGTGACTCTCAGACACACAAACATGCAAGTAGTTCCATAGCTGCCTYCACTTTGCGACTAAATTATTCACATTTTTTCTGCAGCTCTCCTTTTTGATCGTTTGTCACATTTCTGCACAAAAGACAGAACTGTTTTAGTAAAACCTGCCCGTAAGTATGTAGACTCGTTCCATGTATTTACACTGTTAACGCATAGCCTCCTCTGCAGAGCTGAACAGCTTCGAAACGAAAGAAAACTTCAAACGTGTCTTCAAACCAGAAGGCTGTCAGGGGAGGAGGGAGGGTTAGAGACAGAAACCAGGAGGGTGGAGGAGTGGCTGATAGCTAACTCTGTGTGTGTTTACATCTTTRAGGGAGAAGCTGGTGAGCTCAGCTCACCTTTGACCGTGGAGATGACTGTTCCTGCCGTGCTGAGGATGTCCACGGAGTTCAGGCTCTGGTGTTTCTGGATGATGGCCTTCAGGACTCGGAGCAGTTCACCGAGTCGCTCGTGAACCACCTGATGGAGGCAGTCCTGGTGCTCTGAACATCAGGACAATAAAAAAAAGTCAGGTTAKTTTGTTTCACTGAAATCTGATTGTTCAGACGTTAACCAACATCTGCTGATGAGATTCTGTGAAAAACGCTTAATAAGCAAGAATGAAAACAAAAGTACCAACTTGAATGTTTGCACTCAGTAACCTCTGACCAAAAGAAAAACATGACACCAACACTAACCAGCTCTGAATCATAGTGGAGTCATCATGTAGGGGGTTATAAATACGTCACCCTCTGCACAACTCACTTCAACTGATCTGATTTAAAACACAATTCAACCATTTCAAAAGATCTGAACTACTCCTTTAATAATCCGTGTTCAGTTTGCTGCTACGTTGCCAGTGTTCAGACCAAAGCCAATCACTGACTGAAGTTTAAGACCCTCTTTAGAGTTGAACTTCCTGTTATCACAGAGGTATGAGGCAACCTGACAGATACATGTGCAAATAAACACTTCTTTTTTTGTCCCTTTTACAGCCTATTTGATCAGATAACTACAGAAAARGGCATCTCAGGCATTCAGGTTTATACCTCCCAAACAGTGAGTCAACAGCCGTTTCAAAGGGGCCACTTAGCACTTTGTTATCAGGTAACCTTGAAAAGGTGCTCCTGGCATGCTTGAGGAATGAATAAAACGAGTAAGGAAGTAAGGCTGGAGTTGAAGTTTATGATCCATCGGAAACAAACAGGTGAGTGTCACCTTGGCAGAAAAAGCAAGCAAACAATCTTGTTTCATTGAGCTGCTGCCAAGAATCGAGCTGTAAACAGGTTAAATAAAAAAGCTGCTGAGCAGGTTGCTTTTACTTTACGTTTAAATATCTTAAGTTGTGTGTTTGTACAACTGCAAAACACAAATATGTGCAGAACGGATCCAGGCAAAGAGCCACGGGATTACCTTTCATGGAAACAGATCAGATCTTTAGCTTTTTTTTTTTTGTCAACTCTTTTTTTGGAGAGGCACAAACTGTGCTAACAGTGAGACGAGCCGAGGTCAGGAGAGGAGTCCAACCACATAAGCTCAAAGGATATTAAAATGATTTATAAAAACAATAAAGATTATTACTCTCTTTAAAATGAGTTATATTTCTATTTTTATTCACATCCAGGCAATCATTTGTACTTTTTTTAAGCAACGCTATGTTTGGTTATGATTTTAACTTTCCATCTAATAATTATATTTTTTTCAAATTTCACCATAAAATATGTAAAAACTATTGACTTAATCATTCATTGCAAGTTCTGAGGCAATGATGGGATTTTGGTAACCATGTCCACAGGTGTTCTGGTCCACTCCTCCTAAACAACTTGTCCCGGCTGTCTCAGGTCTGAAGAGTTCCTCCTCCAGCTGTCTCCGCTCCGTCCACAGATGTTCAACAGGATTTAGTTCTGGACTCAGATGGTCACTTCAGAACAGTCCAATAGTTGGTTCTGAGTCATTATCCGTTTTGAGGACCCGTGATCTGTTTGAGATCAGGTTTTCTGACACTGAGCAGCACATTTTGCTCCAGAATGTCTTGATAGTCTTGAGATTCCATCAAACCCTGCACAGATTKAGCAAAGCAGCCCTGGAACAGAACTGAGCCTGGTCCATGTCTCACTGCAGGATGCCTTTCTGTTTTATGTTTGGGTCTTTGAACACACAGTTACTGGGACTTGTCCAAAACCTCCAGTCCCATCTCATCTGCCATATTTTTTATGATTGGTGTCCTACTCAGTTGTCTTCTTTAGGCCCACTTTGGCTCAAACACTGATGACTCTTAACCTTGGAGTTCGCCTCTGATCTCTTTGGAAGTTGATCTGGACTCTTTGGTTACCATTTGTTTTATTCAATTCAAAAATACTTTATTGATCCCAAAGGGAAATTAGGTGTTGTTGTAACTCATTGAACTAAAAACTTATTGTAGATGCTGATGGCTGTGGGCAGGAAAGATCTTCTGTAGCGGTCTGTATTACAGCGAAGTTGAAGAAGCCTCCAACTGAAGACACTTTGTTTTTCTATGACAGTCTGATGAAGAGGATGGTCAGGGTTGTCCACAGTATTCTTGATTTTATGTAAAATCCTTTTTTGCACAATCATCCCCAGAGATTCCACAGTCGTCCCCAGAACAGAACCAGCCTTCTTTATCAGGTTGTTTAGCCTTTTTAGGTCCCTGGCTCTGATGCTGCTGCCCCAACAGATGACAGCAGAAGAGATGACGCTCTCAACAACAGACTTGTAGAAGATCTGCAGCATCTTGCTGCAGACATTGAAGGATCTCAGCTTCCTTAAGAAGTCCAGTCTGCTCTGTCCTTTCTTATAGACTGCTTCACTGTTGAGTCTCCAGTCCAGTCTGCTGTCCAGATGAACACCGAGGTATTTATATTCCTCAACCACCTCCACTTCTTCTCCCATAATGGAAACAGGGTTTAATCTAACACTATTTCTCCTGAAATCTACAATCATCTCCTTTGTTTTGTTGACATTCAAGATGAGATGATTGTTCCCACACCATGCCACAAAGTGGTCCACCAGCTCTCTGTACTCAGCTTCCTGTCCATTTCTGATACAGCCAACAATTGCAGAGTCATCTGAGTATTTCTGTAGATGACAGCAGTCTGACTTGTGCTGGAAGTCTGAAGTGTACAGTGTGAACAGGAATGGTCTACGTCTGTCCAACTTTTTTACGAGTTGTCCTCTTGTGGACATGTCCAGGGAGGTTGTCTCCTGTCCAGTGGACCTTAAACGTCTGAATAATCTGAGTCATCAGAGAAACATGAAGCTGTTAGGAGATGAACTATAGTTTCAATGTGATRGTCTTTTTGAGCTCCATGTTCAGTGTGTTACACACATGATACCAAACATCTCATCATTTAAAAAGGCAGACTGATTACTGGACTGAAGACATCTCTCTGGGTTTATGTGATAAAAATAATCTGTACCTCTAGATGCAACAGAACTTGACAAATATAACTTCATAAAGAAGTAGAACTCCTAGACCATTTCCTACCACAGGAACAAACCCCAGACAACATTACCTCTTTATAAAATCTCCACAAGACCTGGAGTCCCATCTTCCTCCATAGCAACCACCCTCATTCATCTTCATCATTTGCCATGTCCAGTTTCTTTCAGTCCAGAGGACCTGGAGGGTGGGTTTTTGATACGGTAAAAATCTTGTGGTTTTGTTTCACTGCCCAACTCACCATGGGGCAGGAAATGGGCCAGTGTGCCTCTGGCACAACCACCCAACTTTACTGTTGTACAATAAGAGCGCTCACATGTGTCTCACTCTTATGGTCTGTTTGTCTCCACCTCCAGTTTCACTTCTTGAACTCTTGTTTGTTGGAACATAATTTCTGTTAATTTTAATCTTAATTTTTCAGAAAAACCCAAATAATGTATCTCTGTTAAGATTATGTGGTTTCACTAATTCACCCCCCTGTGGACTATATGTTTTATTTAGTTGCCAGGCCTTTGAATCCTGACACCTGAAGGCATCGAGCTGACGATTTATCAACGCCCACAAGGCAGAGGGTCTTCCTTTGCAAATCTCAGAGGGCTTTGATCATCAGTGGCGGCCAGTTGGCTCATTTGAAAATCCTAAAAGGAGGATAATTAGTGAGACATTATGGCTGCGTCCACCAGCACAGTAGGATACAAGATAATGTACTGAGACTGATTATTTAACAGCTTAACTACCATTCTAGGTTGGACACAAAGGGAGGAAGACYTGTTCCCACCACGGTCTGACCTGGTAATAAAACATGTTTAAGTAGGAAGAAACAGCACATTAAGAAGTTTTAAAATTATTGTAAATACTTTTATTTATTTCTCCAAATCGATTTCTTCTCTTGCAATGACAAACCGTAAGACGGTCTACCTCGTGGATCTGCCACGTGAGGCATTCAGGGAACAGTAACAGCTGGTTCCTCTTCAAGAATAGTTGTTTTGTAGCTTGAGTGTGGCTGCTTTTTAGTTGGCAGCAAAGGCTTTTAAAGAACACAAAAGCCGGAGTTTGGTAAGTATGGGAATCAGAGAAAATAGGATGGAGGCTGTAGACTCTCCTTTGGGATTCGTCCTAAATTTACCCCCCTCTCTGAACCCCACATCCCTGCTCRGGCGGGGTTATGAGAGGAGGAGAGAGGGAGCGACATTCCTTGGCATAATAAGCCCCCGGTGAATGAAGGCTACATGGGGATCAGACTCTGATCCTGATGAGAAGGAGGCCGCAGATCAGGAGCTGCCAGCGACGCATTGCCAGGTTTTTACTTGGTTAGCGTCATGGAAACCCGACATTCCAGACTCTTGTTTGGGAGCTGGGACGGGAGATGTGGGAGCAAGGGGTCGAAGGGCGGGGAGGGGGATCCAGAATGAAAACACTGACGGATCATTCACAGAGATGACATATCAGAACCAAAYTACCATGACGTCCTACTGGAGAAAATTTTGTTACCAAATTTTAGCCCCATATATCTGCCAACTTGACTGAGTTGTAGCTATTTTTGTTTGCTATAATCGGCTGTGGCTCGAGTTAACCAGTTGAACATCTGATGACTTTGAGTAACCCTAACAGAACTGAGCCTGGTCCATGTCTCACTGCAGGATGCCTTTCTGTTTTATGTTTGGGTCTTTGAACACACAGTTACTGGGAACCCTAACCCTAACCCCTAACCCTAAAATTGTCTCAGTTTTAAAACCGCAAATATACAGTAGGGCTGTGTGTTGGCAAGAATTTAGTGATACCGAGATCGAGTTGGAGGTTCAGTTAGAGATTTTTATATATTATAGTGTGTTTCTGTATTGTTTTTGTATATATTATTTGTTTGTTTTTTGATACACGTCTTGACTTGAACTGTAAAGCACTTTAGTCAGCTTTTGTTGTTTTAATGTTCAATATAAATAAATTTTACATTGACATTGATATGATACGTATCACAACACAGGGGTCACGATAGATCACCATTTTTTTCTCCAAAATAGTCTAACTTTTAAAAACTCTGAGGAGTTGCATTCTGAAATTAAATTCAGTTTATTGTTGATGCTATCAGAAGAACACTGAACAACAATGAGAATTGCATTTGAATTTCACGTCCATTAATAACCAATTAAAAATCAATGCAGTATCAGGAAATGGAATATTCAGTATCAATACTTTTTGAGAAATCTTATGAAACCTGCTCTTGTTTTTAGCTCATATTTTATTAGCTTATTTATTTGAGTCAGATTTCTTAATTACTTGTGCCTGTATAAATAAAGGTCAAATAAATATATATATATATATATTTACACCCCTAATGTACATCTATAGTTAATTACCATAATAGCTGTGCCTGTTTAAATTGCCTGGGTTAAATTACAGCTGGAAATTCCTCCAACTCACAAACAAATTTATAGGAAGTACTTTGTAGTAGTGGTTGTTGAAAATAAATTGGGCATTCATCAAAAGCAGAGGAAGATTAGGGCTTCAAGGGGTTTCTGTAGCGCTTTAAGCCCCTCCTTGTGACAGTGAAATGCACCTCTACTATCCAATCATTGTGTGACTCAATACTTCAGCTAAGACCAAAGTGGATTGGCACCATCTTCAAACTCCTATTGTAAATATTGGTGTAATGTGAAATCACAATGAAGTGATTTAGGTAATCGGGTTTGTCTGAACTCTTGAGTAATTTTGGGATTGAAGTCATATGAAAATGACACCAATCCACAGACTAGCCATTAGCTCATCAGTTTGGTCAGAATTAAAGTCTTTCTTTACAAAATGAGATCATTCAAAGAGCATTCTTAAGTATTGGAGTGGTAAGAACTGTTGTTAACTAATTGTATAGTTTTAGCTCAGTCATTTCGTAATTTACCAGCTGTAAAACTTTGTGTACTAACATGATGTCTGCTGTATGGAAGTATTTTAAATTAGAAAATGAGAGAAGTTCAGTTGCTAGTTACAATGTTTGTATTTCTCGTTGCAGAAGAAACAGAGCTGCATTCATTACCAATTTACTGAGATAATTAAAATGCAAACACCGGACTGAATACACCAAGTTCACCCGGCTAACTCTTAGCTAATACTGCTAAACTACATTCTGCTCTGGATGACCAACCCATCGTAAAAGTGGAAAAAGGTATTTCACCCTACCCTCCTGACGACATGTTGCATGAGCTGTACAACCAGAAGCACTCTTTTGGTGAACATTTAACACCTGGTTCAGTCCTGTGTACTAAACCAGCCTCTCCTGCTCTAAAGCTGAGCTTTCGTTGGTTCCACGTTGTAATCCTTTCAAAATAAAATGTCAGAAACAGTCACTAGGATGCTTTGAATTGTTTTCTGGAATGTTTTCAGGTGGTGGGGTGGGTGGTAGGAAGCACACCGACTAAAGAAGCACCGTTGACAAACAATTTACATTGATTCATCAAATTTGAAAATTTTAACTAAACTTCAAATATTCACTTAAAATCTTGATTGGCCCATCCTTTGCCAGGTCCAATCAATGGGTGGTCAATAATAGCTTCAGTATCCCCCTCCCAACTCCAGCTCCAGTGGTTGGTGGTCGTGTCCCACCTCAGTCGACAGACCCGATGGATTAGCAGATTACACGCAGACCTGTGTGATCAAACTGAAACCTTCCCTGTCCCTTACCCTTTGAAGCCATTTCTTCCCCCCAACTGCAGGCACAAAGACCCCAAGACTCAGAACCTTACACCTAACAGAGGGGGGGCTTCTTTGTTACCTCACTGGGAGCAGCTGCATTTGTCTGGCTTGTTAACTTAAATTTAGCGAGGTGTAATTTGGGTTAACCTCAAACTCTAAACTGAAGGAATAATCTGCTCCTTGCTTCAGCGTATAAATGAGTACACACAGTCGGTTCCCCTCTTTCATTTCTCTGTGGAGCTGTCTGTCATCGTGAGGGAAGACAGGCAACCTTTCTGTCTTGATACCCCCCCGTACACACATCGCCACCACCCACTGTTGATGCAAAGCTCTGAAAGCTGGCATTCCAGCCATGCTTCCTTTAAAAGAAGCTCCAAATCCCCCCACCGTGTAACCTCCAGCTGGCAGCCAAAACGCTCAAGCTTTTGGCTGAAGGTCTGTTCCCAAAGATGTGGGAAGATCTGCACAACAAGAGCACGAGTGGGCTCTTTTCGCACACCTGTCAGGAGGTGGAGGTGGAGGGGGGGTGAACACCGTGAACAGGAGGAGACTGGCTTTACTGGCATGAAAACAGTAAAAAAGAAAATGTTTGGAACGAACTGAAGTTTTCACTGAACACTCAGACGTTTGTAATTTCTAATAAGGGCTGAGATTTTCCACTTCAAGTACCAGCTGCCACTTCAACAGGCAACATAAACACTGCGTGACCTTTAATTTATGAGCTGCTTAACAAACGTAAATAAAAGGTTTAGTTTCTGTAACAGTTGAGCTATAATTTGTCTTTTACATAGCTACAAAGTAAAGGAAAATAAGGTTTCTATCATTGATCTGTGTTGTGAAAGACTCAWTATCTGGGCAAAGTTTTGGCTGTTTGTGTTTGCTAAAGCCAGTTAGCAAAGGAGGCCATTTTTAATAGCTTTGGCTCTGAAATCATTGAGACATTCTCCTTCAGCAGTAGGGTTACGATCAAYATTTAATTTATAGTTATTTGCCTTCTTTCCCCTTCAACTCTAATTTAATAGAAAAACAGGACCATRTACCTGTTTGGATGAATATTTTAAACAACAAAGGCCATGTGGCAGGATCAGTCTGCTAAATAAATGCTTCTTTGTTTAATACTTAATCCTGAACTGGGACAAATTAAGGGGATCTTTAAGCCTATTAGGATCTRTTTAGACGTTTTAACCCAAGAAGGTAAAGGGGAGGGCTTCTAAACTCAAATCCATCATATTTTTGTCCTTAAACACAACTGTGAGAAAAACAAATGACCTTTAAAAGCATCCCGACACACCAGAGGTTTTCCCATGTTTCCACAACCCCCCGGCCTCTCAGGGGCACTGTGGGAATCCTGGAGCGTAACCTTAGTGTGCCGCAGACATCGACGGCCTCCCGGGACAAAGATAGTGCCCAGGACCATAAATCTGGACAGAGGGACACAAAGACCAGGGAGCTCCTGGGTGAAAACAGCTCGCAGGTCCCTGAGCTGAGCCGGGCCGAGCCGAGCCGGCCCTTAAACCCAACATGTGAGCAAGGTGGCGCCACCTGTGCTCAGCGTGCAGCTAAGATACGTTGTGCTGCTCATTAGGTTGTTTCATGCTTTGTTTCTGGGACAAAAGGACCTGCCATATGTCTCAGTCTCCGCTTTAATCCAGGACAATCAGGAGGGGGGTCCACAGGCATTATCTGAGCTTTAAGGCTGGGATAACCCCCAACAATTAGGCTAATATAACATATCCTGAAAGGCTGCTTCATTAACAAGATGACTTGTAGTTAGGAAGGCACAAGGAGGGGTCAGGCTTCTGTTTCTGTGTGGATGTGTCAGCAAAATATCTCATGGACCACGGAAACCTCCAGGAAATAACCACTAAATGCACATTTTCTTTTTATGTTTGGAAACAAACTGATTCAGGARGGCTGTCAGAATCAACGAAAGCTAGAAAACATAAAACATGTCTAAAACTCGGGAGGTTTTACAGTTTTTGGTATAAAATTTGGATTTGTTTGTAGCTGTAAGTCATTCCCAGCCTCTCACAGAACGTATTTAAGTTTTTAGTTTGTACCAGGTTTTTTTTCTGGAATTCAGATTTGTTTACTTTATTCTAATGTGCACCGTTTTCCTTAAATCACTCTTTTTCTTATAAACAAGGGAAAAACTTCTAAAAGAAGTATTCTGCTTTATAAAAACACATTTCAGTTTGTTTTTCCAAGATTCAAAGAATGTAGAAAAGGAAAGAGAATGGACATCAAATCCAAGATGGCTGCCAAAGCCAAGCGAATTTAATCAAACAATACGTGTTGTTGTACTTTATTTAAGTCCTATCTTAACTTTTATGAGTGGTTTTTTTAAATTTATCATGAAGTATGCTAGTTTAATATTTGTAGTTTTAGAGTGTGTTGCTGACGTACTTGACCAGGTCTCTCTTGAAAAAGAGATTTTTAATCTCAATGAGATTACTTGGTTAAAAAAGGTTAAATAAAAAATAAATAAAAAATTGGCTTTAACTCAGACAGCTTTACAGGTATTAAACTAAAAAGTGAATATCATTGTTCAGAATTGTAATGTAACTAAGTACAAATAC